ACAAAATTAAATCTTAACCTATTGCCACATACAAAGAGTGGACTCCAGAAGATAAACAAACCAAAAGTAAGAGGTAAACTTATAAAATTAATAGAAGTTAACGTAGGAGAAAACCTTCTAGGAGCAGAGAATGCTTGTAAACAAAACTTCAAAGGCATGAACCATAAGGCAAAACAAATTGACCATGGCTGAAATTAGCAAGGGGCTAAATCTGGAACATACAAAAAACTTCTACAAATCAACAAGAATGAATGATTTCCAGAAAAAGGAAACTATAAGCCCATGAACATATGAGTATTTAAATGCATTAGTGTTAGAGAAATGCAAATAAACATAGAGATATCACTTGTAAGCTGACAAAATTTAGCCAGTTGGATAATGTCAGGAGTTGATTGAGACGTGGGCAGAGTTGATGGGCGTGGAATGGGTGCAGAGCTTCTACATGGTCATCTGGCATGCCTAGTTAAATTAAGTAGAAATATACCCTGTGAGTAGAAATTCCAATTGAAAAGGAGTTCTCACAGAGGCTCTTGAAGGGCCCAAGGATATCCACTGCAGGAATACTGTGGTGCTATGTCCATCCCTGGGAAAGTGTGTGTGTGTAATGGATAGCCACTATAGAGTCTAGGCAGCATCTAGAAGCATTTTCATCAAGTGATCAATAACTTTGTTTTGTGTGTATTTCCACAGGATACCTTATCTATATACCGGTATATAAAACCCTAATATGCAAATAGAGTGAACAAAGGAATAACCGAAAAACAGGTCGCTATGACATGCACTGACCACCAGGGAGCGCTCACAGAACATGGTGGGCATCGGCCGGCTATGGCAGAATGGTGGAGCAGGTGAGTGGGGACGACGGACTAAGGCAGGGCGCCACTGTCATCGGGGCGAGCCTCTGGTGGTTAATGAAAATTCTTTGTTCCTGCACCGCAGTCCCGCCCGGCACCAGCCTGATCACCCCAAAGGGCTTCTCCACCTCCCCCTGCTCCTGAGGAGCAATCGGGGAGGCACCCAGAGTCCAGTGATGGAGCAGCTCCAGATCGCCCCTGAGGGATTCTCCACCTCCAAATGCTGGGGTTGCAGGGTCGATCCCCAGTAGAGGGCGTGCAGGAGGCAGCTGATCCATGTATTGTCTCACTTTGATGTTTCTCTTCTTCTTCTCCTTCTCCTCCACTTCCTCCTCCTCCTCCTCCTCCTCCTCCTCCTCCTCCTCCTCCTCCTCCTCCTCCTCCTCCTCCTCCTCCTCCTCCTCCTCCTCCTCCTCCTCCTCCTCCTCCTCCTCCTTCTTCTTCTCTCTCTCTCTCTCTCTCTCGTCTCTTTAAAAATCAATAAAAATATTTTTTAAAAAGAGTACAAAAATATTTAAAATGTGGCAGTAAATAGACTAAAAAAGGGTATTTATTTATCGCATGAGAGCAGAAACAAGAAGGCAGACCTGTTCGACCTCAGCTGGGAATGTGCACGCCCAGTGACTTAGATTGTTCCCTTGTCTGCAGGTGTCTGTAAGCGGCCACAGCACTGCCTGGGTGGTGATTTGGGGGTTACAGATTTCAGTGAGTGAATTTGCGAACATGAAATCCACAAATAACGTATGTGGTGGGAGAAAGGTGGAGAGGAACAAGGAACAGACAGGCTGAAGCTGGATCATGAATGTCCTCAAAGGCCAAGCTGTATCCCCTGGGCTTTGGGCACCAGGAAGGTGTGAAGCCCGGGAGTCACATGTGTGTGTGTCAGTGGTGGGGTGAGGGATGTTCAAAGCAGCCAGAAGGATGGGGCGGGCCAGCCTGCAGATCTCTCTCCTCTGAACAGCAGCAATAAGGCCATGCAAACACTTATTTAATACTTACTGAGCACTCACTGTGCGCCAGGCTCTGTGCTCAGTGTCACCAGGCACTTACAATTCATAGGAAAGTGGTTTCAGTGGGGGAAGCAGAGGGAATCAGGGATGAATTGGGAGAAGCTCTGAGTTAGACTTAATACATGCATTAAATGAACGCATCCGGGAAGACTCTTGAGGAAGAAGCGTTTAAGCTGAGCCCGACGACAGTTGGCAGGTGAACATGAAGATGAAGGTGCTCTAGCAGACGGAACAACAGGTGCCGAGGTCCAATGGTGAGAGAGCCATGAAGCATTTGGAAACAGAAAGAACTCTTAGGCTGGGTCTCCAGTTGGGGAGGGGCGGGAGTGGAGAGAGATGAGGTCAGGGACAAGCAGTTCCTCCAGGGCTTTGAGGCCACGATAAAGAGTTGAGACTACCACAAGGGCAATGCAGAGCTATGGATGGATTCTGAGTAGGGGAGTAGCAAGGCGAGATTTACATTTAGAAAGATTCCTCTGGAGGACTGAGGGGAGAGC